GGTGTTGAGAAGCTTGTGGAACCACCGTGCCCACCGTTGGCGAATAAACGTGGGGTCCCGAAGGACCCTGCCGTTCGTCCTTGATGTCGATCATCTTCAGGTGCCTGTAGAAATCCGCCTGATCTTTTGCGGCTCTTCTTCTTCTTCTCGAGCTGCCGTACAAAGCCCTCGAAGAACGTTTCCAGTGCTCTCCACCTCGCGATGCTGCGCTTCTTCCGGGCCGCCTTGAGCATCGCCTTCAGGGTCGCCTCGCAGGCGTGTGGGATGGTGAATCGAAGCGGCCCCGTGAGCTCCCAGGGAAAAAACAGTACAAAGTAGAATGTACCGACATCCCCTCGGAAGACCGAGACACGTGAATATTCTATTTAGACTACTTTGTGGATGCTGCATCGAAAGGTCCGCCAAAAAAAGCACATGCCGGCTGATGGAACACACCACAGTCTACAGCAGTAGCACTCGCTGCCCCTGTGGCGAGCGGACCATCCACGCTCTCCTGTAGGCCTTCTGCCCGTCGATCCTGTGCATTCGCGGTAACGCGACAGACGGTTGTGCCCCTTGTGTGTGCTACTGGCCTTGTCCTGCTATCATAGTCGTTGTTGAGCGGTGGTTGTGGGTGGTTTTTGCAGGCGTGCCCCCGTCAAGATTCCACCGCTTTCGTGCCTGTTGTTCGCAACCATTGTTTTGTTGTCCTTGGTCGACCCTCCTTTTTTTCAGGACCAAAATTCCGCACCAGAAGCAAATCCTAGATAGACATGGATGTTGCAAGTGTGGTTCCGCTCGCTCCATTTGTTGACAAGAGTGCAATGGGTTGATCGTGAGAGTGTCGCACCTCCACTACCACTGCTGCTGCGGGTTACTCCTGAGGTTTGACTCGCTACCCCGCTTCTCTCTTTTCTTCGGCCTCGCACGATCCAAGCAAATCACTCTCAGCCCCGCGGACATAGACATCTACCGTGCACATCATCAGCAACTACGACCGACCGGACAGCCCGTTCCCTCGCCCTCTCTGGTTCGCCTTTCTTTGTATTGTAAGATTTCCGTGTGGATCCCGGCAGGTGGTGGCAAAGGCTGACACCGACAGACGTTAGTCTGTCCAGCTAGCTCGCAGGTAGCAGGTGATGCTACTGCTGCAGACTTGTTGAAATTGAATGCGCGCTTGCGGCCAACAAAGACTTGTACAGAACGATAGACTTTGGCAGTCTAGGGAAGAAGATAGGAGAGAAAGCAGAGTGAGAGATAAGGGGGGCGAGCTCGGCTGCACCTCTTCTCTTTCCAGAATAGCAGACACACAAATGCTAGAATAATTAAATTCTGATCTCCGTTCGTTGGAAGCGACGCGCTGCAAAGCTCATTGTCAGTATACTTGATCGACTTCATAAGTCGCGAGGGAAGGGATTGCTGTACCCTTCTCGCGAAAAAAATATCTCAGGCAGGAACCGCAGGAGGAGTTCCAACCCCCCCCCTCCTATGTGACCCCGGTTGGGCCGTCTAGCTGGTAGAAGTGGAGGATAGGGGCCAGAGGGGCAGACGACGGAGTCCAATGATGGGAGAACAAAAAAAAAAACGCTCTAGACTAGTTCTAGAGGCTGTTCTGGAAACTAAAAGACCGGTCCGGAAACGTTCCTGGATCCGCAATACTGTTCCATGAACCAAAGGGGTCCTACAATACGTGGTTTTCTTGAAGCAACTACTGTTCTTGAGAACGTTCCTCAAGACGTGGTGTAATCGTTCAGATCTCCACTGCTATGATACTACTGAACATTGACTTGCTAATCCATAGCACTCCCCCTCAATGGAATTTTCGTGATACTAAGCTAAAACATAAACTTCACATCCGACGACACACTGTCGCCTAGATAGACCATTTTGAAACGGAAACCGCAATTCATGGCATGCAATCTTCTCCATGATGTACTCAAGAGACGTATCATCTCCGTTTACTTGAACTATGCTCTACTTAATGCCGAAATGCATCATTCAGCGCGAAAATATAGCTAAATCTGGTTAGTAGCGACCACTGGACTAATGATGACTACTACTAGTCCCTAATCGCTGCGTCAAAACAGGGCGATCCCTGAATTTTGTAAGATTCTTGGTCGAATATCCGTGTCGAAGATCCCTTACTAAGCTTGTCACGTCCCGAAGTTCTTGATCTTGTTGATGAGATACTGGTGACGTTGTTTGTTAAGGTGCTTCGTCCCGATATCGGCGAGGTTGTCCTCGGTCGGGATGTAGTGGATGGATATCCTTCCCTCCTTCACGACCTCGCGGATGTAGAAAGAAGAAGAAGCGTAGTGCCACATGCTTTGTGCGCCCGCTGAAAGTCTGGTTGCCGATTACGTAGAGTGTAGCGGTGTTGTCGATGTATAATGGCGCGCTGCTGAATTCAGATTCGAATCCCAGTTCCTTCATCATGGTGGTGCAGAATATCACTTCCATCATCGCGAGTGCTGCAGTCACCAGCTCGGCCTCCATAGAAGACATGGCAGTCAGGCGTTGAAGTCGGGACTTGAAGTTCACTGGTACCTTGGACATCATGATGATGTACGATGACATGTACTTTCCGTTATCCGGGTTGTTGCCCCAGTTGGCGTCGGAGAATGCCGTGAGGTCAAATCCTCCTCTCTGAAGGTGTTCGGTATGGTCTTGACCTTCCCCTCCGAACGACCGCGGATTTGGGTGTTGATTGCGAAGAAGGCGTATTCCAGGAAGTTGAATCTCTCCTCGCGATGTCCGATGTCGGCCAATGGGGAGTTCGTGTAGAGGGCGAGGCGCCTCAGCCCTCTGATAGTTTTGGACTTTACGGCAGTGTCTCGACCACTTTGATTGGTAAGGGGTGGTTTGTCGACCTTTGTTGTAGATCTCGTCCCCGCATGATCAGGAACTCGTGTGCTCGAGCGCAGCGTACGACCAGTGACGCTTGGAGGAGGTACAGGTTGTTTCCCGTCAGATGACGAATTGTCATGTTCTGGTCCACTCGGTGACGTGGTCTCTTTGTTGCTGGTAAGAAGGTCCTGACTGGTGACTTCTTGAATGTTGCTGACCAGCTGTTGTTGCATGTCGCTAGTGTCCGATGATGAAGGGATGACCGAAAGGTGACTCCTTGGCGACTCTAGGTCGAGATATGACGTGTAGTCCATCACATCACGCATAGGGTCGTCGTTCCTATCGTATCCAAACTCATCATCTTCGGACATTTTGCCTGGTTTATACCCGGAGTCGTCGTTTCCGGCTCTGTTGCTCGGCGTAAGGTCTTGTATGGTAGACGGCGTCTCGATGAAGATGGCGTTGCTGCTCACCTTGAACCAACTACTGTTCTTGAGAACGTTCCTCAAGACGTGGTGTAACCGTTCAGATCTCCACTGCTATGATACTACTGAACATTGACTAATGTAGCCTTGCTAATCCATAACATTTTGGTAAGCGTCCAGCCGGGTCCCTTCGAAGCTACTGCTGTAAGTCGTGTTTAGCGTCTGCGTGTCCATAGCCGCTCTCAGCCGATGAGACAAGGGTGTAGACTAGACTACATGTACAGGGGGAAAGGTTGATCAAGAATAGAGGAGACGAAAGAGCAGGATCCCCGAGTAGCCCAGATCGTGCGGGCTGATCGGATGATTTGTGTGTTTGCCCCTCTCCGCTCTTAGCAACTGCTGTTTCTGTGCACACTGGTGGCGCTAGATCAGAGACCAGGCATATAGGCTAGGATGCCCAAAAATGAATTGCGTACCCATCTCGTTTCAAGGCGATCGCGTGACGGGACTCAAATCGAACTGCTGGGTGTGGTTTGGCGGCAATACGGTACTTGCAAAACTTGAAAACTTGGAGATGTCCCTATAGGCTGTCTGGGAAATCGTAGACACACAGGTAGTTTTCTCTGACGCTATGATTCCATTGTTAATCTGTCTCTGACTCTTTTCTATGATAGAGATGGACTCGTTGTGTCATATTAAGAAAAAAAAAAAACTTCAAGTTGTAGCCTAGATATTCCGCCGCGTTTCTCGGCCCGTGGGTGTTGTGTGTTGTGTGTTTCCTGATCGCAGGTCACCTTCCAAGGCGAGGCCGGGGTGCTGCACCATCAGTAGTGGTGGCCTCTCGAGATCCTGTTCCTTGCCCGTGAGGAAGGAAGTGCGGCTCTGGCCCGGTGGCAACATGTCAAGCGCTTGCAAGCGCATAATATATGTAGAAGACGTATGTAGACTAGTCTCGACTATCTAGCATATGATGTAGGGGAGTCGGGCGAAGTATGGAAATCTACGCAATCTCCGTTGTTCGGCCGGATGATCATGATCGTTATCACCAGTCCACCAAGCAAGGTTCCACAAGGTTCGACGACAACTGCAAGCAGTAGAAGCATCGAAGTACCAATGCACCTGCGACCGTAGACTATGAAGGTTGTCAGACAACCGTTTCCTCTGCTCCTTGACTAGTGCACCCTTCAAAGGGACACACATACATTTTGTACCAGCAGCCGCCGCCGCCGCAGCAGCAGCAGCAGCAGCTGTCGAGTCTGTTGGCCCTCTTCATGAGCGGGCCGTTTTTTTTCGTCGATCTGGCGCTGCTGTGAGGCGGTTTCCCGCCAGCGTCTTCGCATCTAGCGCTGTTAGCATATGCGCTTGCCGTATTCTCTGTCCAAGGATGAGGTGGATAAGATGTTCCAACAGGCATTGCTTGCACAGGTACATCCTCTGTGCGGACGGTTGCTGTCGGAGACAGGCATGCACACCTGCTTGCTCAGAAACTACTGCAACAGCAGTCTATTTCTCTCCGCATAGCTGCTACTGCTGTACAGCAGTAGTACTACTGTACTCCTGTTCGTATCCCTTACAGATACCGCCCCCTCATTCCTGTGAGCCCCACACATGGACCCACTGCTGCACCATCCTTGCCGCCGTGATTTATGGGTGTACACGCATGCTTGGAAGATCTTTGACGGCAGAGAGCCAGTTGTGGGGACAAACCAAAAAAAATCAAATTAGTCTAGACTATCCCAGTCATGTAAGGGTTAATACAAAAAAGTTTGAGCGTGCAACAGACTATGGACCTAGGGCCTTACTACGGCTGTACGAAGCTTGGCTGTTTATACATACAACGGATGCATTTTCAAAACTGGAGGCCAGGAACACTTTCAACACTTGAGAATAGACAGGGAGACATGGCTCCGTCTCATCAAAACCTAGGCCTGTCCTCCATCGGCCGTTTTATTTTCGATTTAGATACACAAACTTTATTTCTATACTAATTTCAAGTAATTCCACCTTCTTATTCTCCGTCATACAAGCAAAACGGCCGATGGAGGACAGGCCTATCAAAACCAAGCGGGTGTGTAGCATTTATCCCGCCATCCCGGCTCGTCACCTCTCCCCAGCCATTCTTGGAAGTCTTCACAGGTGTCTAGACTATTCTCGCTTCCCGATAAAGGCCAAATATAATGTCAGCTGGCATTTCAGTGGGTCGTTTACTGTGTTGACATGTCATGTACATACAGCAGTAGAGTGAGGACGAATACCGCAATCATCGGGATCTTGGCACACTGTGCGGTCGCTTCTTCAAATGTTTCGAACTTCAGACTTTTTTCGCACAGGTGTGCGAAGACCCCGATATGCGCCAAAATCGCGATAATACCTGTGCGGAATGCAGTAAATATTTTTATTTTCTTTATACACACAACAAGAAACAACACCCCTGCTGCGCCAAGACCCCGATATGTGCGGTGCTGTTTAAAGCGGCTGGTACAGCGACTTTCGAACGCACACCCATGTGCGAAGACCCCGATATGTGCGATCCTAACATTGAAAACCACAGGGGAAAGCAGCACTTCGTGCGTAACACGATCACAACACAACCAGCAGACAAGCTAGTAGCTGCACACACAAACGAGTCTCGGGGAATTGCCACCACAACAGTTCCGTGGCGGAGAAATACCGGCGGAAAATCGGGAAAATGCCCGGGACGGAGCTGCGGGCTCGACCACACGCAACACGCGGCTACGATGTCGGAGGGTGCAAGCGCGGGACCTGCCGACGCCTCACAGGCCTCACAGGCCTCACAAGCTAATGCTGGCGGTCCTTCCTCTGCGGATCAGGGAGCTGCCGCTGCTGACCCGGAGGCAACCGGCGAGGCTATCGATGAGATGCTAGCCGCCAACGACCCCGTCGAAAACAGCAACGGCAAACGCGCATACCCGGAGCCGAACTTCCCGATCGAGCGGTCAGGAGCAGTGGGAGGGAAAGGGAGCTACCCNAGCTAATGCTGGCGGTCCTTCCTCTGCGGATCAGGGAGCTGCCGCTGCTGACCCGGAGGCAACCGGCGAGGCTATCGATGAGATGCTAGCCGCCAACGACCCCGTCGAAAACAGCAACGGCAAACGCGC